TCTCCTAAATTAAAGAAGAAAGATAATAAAAACTATTTTGAATTATTATTCTCAGTACTGACCTGCTGCCTCTCCAGGGCAATGCAGAGGAGCTGTTCCCTCTGAAAGGCAGCACTTCAGAGGCTGAACACTGTTTGAACAGCCTCTCAGCTTCCAAGATGAAATATGTATCAGAAATACCTTAAATGACCACTGCATAAGAGTGGTGTCCAATTCCTCCCTAACTTTGTGTGTCTTAGTTTTACACTTTCCTAACTGCTTTTAACATCATCATCAAGATTTTACATTTCCTAAAATAAACTTTGACTTGCAAGAACTTTTTGTGTTCAGACTGAGCTCAGGTCAATCTGACAACCCTAAGATGCTCTTCTTTCCTCTCACATAACAAATTTACTTTTTAAAGAGAGTATTTAGGATGGAAGATGCAAAATCGAGAGTGGTGGAAGGATTTTGAGTGGAGAAGAAGCAGCTATGAAGGATCCAAGATGGGGAGGTACAGAAAGCTCTGTTTTACACTTTGGCTCTTTCTGCTATTTGTGCGTATATACAGTCTGAATCTCTAAATTACTGATTTCTCTCTTGTTGGATTTATTTATGTATTTGATCATATTTTTGACATGTTCCACTACTGTCAATTTATCTACTTTATCTACACACAGTGGTTGTAGCATCTACTGAAGATAACAGACACCGATTCCCCTTGTAAGATGAAAGCCTTCATCTGTGGTATACCTCATGTATGTCTGCTAACTGCTGATGTATTTTTACTATTAAAAGTGGAAAGAAAGTCTTTTTAGATCATAAGAATATATACTTATAGAACTAGAAAAAAATTTATAGGGCTTAAGGCCAATGCCATATTGGAAGCTATTTGCTGATCATTTTCAAAACTGGTAAGGATAGAGAAATGTGACAAATGTGGAATGAAAATGCATGGAAGATAAGTAAATTTTATGCACAAAAGAAGTATTTAAGAAAGTACAGTGAGGAACAGATAAAAGCAAAGTGAGACCAAATATATATGCATGCGTGGAAACACTGATTGAGAAATCTAACTGCAATGATTTCCATCCTCTCATCATAACTGAGCATGTACTAAATGAATAAACTGCTACTTGACATTTCCTAAATAAATATCATGGGAAGAGTACTTATTTTACTTTAATGAATCATTTTGGCCTCTCCAACAGAAAGTAGATGTGGTGAACCACAATCTGTTCTGGGAAAAATAATTCTATAATGGAGATATATATGGACTGAAATATGAGAAGTTGTGGTCTCCAACAGGTCTACTTTAAAACAGATTCTGATTCATCCATGCCCACTGCTACTTATATTTGATTATAGCTGTTGACATACTGTATCTGCCATGCAAAGAGCTATTTCTTTACTAGAGGTAAGAAAGCCATATGGTTCGTGGATGACTATGAATTTTCACAAGGCAAACTGAACTAATATGTATGTAATTTTTTTTACTGTGGCTATTAAAACAAAACTACCTGTTTAGCAAACAGAACATTTTCAAATCAATGGGATTTTATACGAAGCCCATATAATACATTTCTAAGAACTAAAAGTCTTGATGGACTAACACTAACTTTCTGCATTAGTGGTCCTCTTGTTCACCAGGCATGTTTAGATAAACAAATTCACTGTACTGATTAAGTGAAGCAGCAAATAAGACTTGTCTTGTTCATGGAGTAGAACTGAAGCAGCTGTTTTTCTTTGACTGTTGCAGATTCAAAGGGCCCCCAAAGGTATACCTCATAAAAAAAGGGGGTTACTTTAGGGGTTATGTTCTTTTTATTACAAAAACTTCTCATAGGATTATCATAGATATACAAGGAAATTGCTTTGACTCTATGTAATTACAAATAGGAAAAAAGTTCCTGGCAGAGGCAGGTGTAAAATAACATTTACCATCTTTGTTAAGGCACACAAAACCTATTCCAATAATTACTCCATTGTCTGTAATTTAGCCAGGCAAAGCTCACAATCAGGCTGAAATTCAGTCATCCAGACTGTGTCTATGAATATTTACTATTACAACCTCTGCTATTAGAGCCCTTTTGTAACTGTGACATGGTAACTGGACCAGGACATGCAACATTCAGGAGAGCTTGCAGGGGGTACTTTCTAGGCAGGACACTCTGCCTGGCACTGAGTGGAACATGAATATCCAAGCTTTACTCAGGATCTGGTATGAATTTCATATTCAGGGGTATATTTCTCCTATCGCATCTACCAATTACTATTGAAGTAACTTCCTTCAAATACTGAAATTCATTTAGAATAGAATTTTTAGTTTGCCATAACAGACCTTGACATTTTTGTCTTGCTTTGGTAAGTTTTTGTTTCAACAGTTGGCCTTGCCAACAGTATCACCATTAATACTGGTGGGACTTTGACCCACACAAATGTCATTAAGTCATTAGGAATATTACCCTTGATTCAGCATGTCTTGGATTTGACTGTGTGCTTTTATGTGGTACATGGACAAAACTCAGTCTCCTCAACACCTCTGTCAAAAGCAGTCTATGTTTGCTGCTTGTTTAATGCTAGTTTAAAGGATTTACGATACTCTGTCATAACTCGCACCAGAAATTTGAACTCATTTCAGAGGGACTAGAAATTCTAAAAAGTTAAAAAAGAGGTATGCCCTATGCTGTTCTAGTGCAAACTAGACAGATGAGTAACTAAATGCAAATAGCACTTTACAGTAATAAAATGAAAAGTTAAAAATAATCTAAATTAGAATCAATTAATTTATTTGATAATCCTAGTTTTTAGTTCATGTGTAACTGAACAATGGCACAATAAACACATTCTTTAACTTAGGAATATTATGTCAGATCACAGAGGGTCTGCCGAGAGCACTCAGAATTAAATCTCAATGCATTACACTATAACTCATAAAACTATTAAACATTGTCTGAGTCCATTTTAACCACATACCAGACATTTTGAAAAGTATGCAAAATGATGGGGGAGGGAACAATCTTTCAAATATAAATTATAAGATCTGGTTAGCACTGTAAAAATAGCTACACACAGTAAAATTAAAACTTGCAGTTCTGAAAGAAGGTGTTTTGTGCAAACCATCTGGAAATGACTTGAAAGTATTGCTATACTGCTGAAAGTACAGAAATATAAAACTTGCTACTCTTCCTATTTTACTTGTTTTCCAGATAAAACAGAAAGATGAAAATGCAACTAATCACAAACATGACAGACTGATGATACCTCAAACACATTTTCATTATAAAATAGTACCCTGCTCTACCCTAGAGTCGCTTTTTAAAACATCCAGTACAATCAGTATGCTTGTTTGACACATCACAGAGTAAAAAGCATTCAGTTACTAAGACCCTACACGAGATTTCTCTATCGTCTGCACTCGGATCTGCACTCGGTCACATTGAGGTAACCCTTGCTCGTTGCAGGATGCCCACTTGCAGTCATCTACTTCTTAAATGGCTAGAGGTATTCAGTGTTGAATATTTTGCTAGTGCTCCTCTTGTGATGCTACTCTGAAGCAGAGATAGTCACCAAACACTCCAGTACTGAGAAAGGCACTTGAGTTTTGCAGCCTTGTTCTTGGGCTCACATCACCTAGAGTGACAGCATCACTTGCTCTCCATCTCAGGGCTTGAATTTGGAAAAGATTCAAATACCACCTGCTCCCAAGGCACATTAAGCCTGTGTAAGCCTATGCCGTAATGAAGCACAATCGGAAACAAACAATAGGTTGTCACTGCAAATTAGAAACCTTCGTAAGTTTGAGGAAAGTTGAGGCCGAACCACTTATATTACGGATTTATGGCTAAATGCGAAGCTGTACGGCACCGGCACCGCTGGTAGAAGTGGGGCACCAGCAGCGGAAGGAACTAGGTTACGAAGGCGACAGAAAGCGGTGCCGTAAGAGAAAGCCCATTTTCTGCACTTCGCGCTGGCTGGAGTGCTCTCCCCGCTCCCCCCCTCCGGACCGACCCGCACTGGCCCCACCGCATCGCACCAGGCCGGGCCGGCGGGGGCCGCCCGCCCGAAGTGGCGGCTTTGCCGGTTCCGCTCCAGGAGGAGAGGCGGGCTGGTGCGCGCTGCGCTCCCGTTCTCCCGTTACGATGCGGGGTCATCATTTTATTTCTCCGGCAGACGGTGTTCCAAAGGGCCGCGAAGACGCTCAGCCAACCTGCCCGCGAACGCCGCCCTCCCCGCGGCGAGAGCCACCCGCGATCGCCCCGGTGACCGAGGGCAGCGCGGCAGATGCGCCCGGCGCATCCCCCGCGCTCGGGCTGCGCGCCCGCGGCCCCCTCGGCCGCGCCGACCCCGCGCACCGCGGCGGGGCAGACGGGGGGAACGGGCGGGACGCGCCTGCCGCCCGACCGCCCCTCGGGGCACTTGGACAAGCCGGGAGGAGCAGTGCGGCCCCTCCGACGTACCCGCACCTTCCCCCGGTGCGGTGGCCGGGAAACGACAGGGGATAGCGGTGCGGGCGGCGGTCCGCCAGCAGCCCCGGCTGCCCGACCCTTCCTCGAGGGGCAGCCCCGAAGATCCTGCTCTTCCAAAATTTAAATCGCCGCTGGTACTGCGGTTCCGCGGGCATCATCCCCAGCCCCGCCGCCCCCCCGCGCCAGACCGGCCGCACCGAGGGTCCGTACGCCGTCCCTCCCCTGTCTCCCCCGCTCCGGCACCGGGCACTCCGCCGCGCAGCCGTCCTGCCCGGGCTGTGCCGAGCCGAGACCCCCACCCGCCAGGGCGACCCCCGCCCGGCCAGCGCGGCGCCGAACGCACCGGGGAGGGGGATGACAGCCCCACCGACGGCGCGGTCGGCGCGCCCTCGCCCCACCGCCCGTGCCCGACGGCGGCGGTGCCCGCGCGGCACCCGCACCCCCGGCTCCCGCTGCTGCCTGGGCGGAGGCGCCCCGCGGGCAGCCCGGCGCGCCTGGCGCCCCGACGGCGGCCCCTTGCCTTCCCCTCCCGTGCCCTGCCTGCCTGCCTACCTTTCTCAGCGCTGACATTCTAGAGCATTATGAACGCGGCGGGTGCGGCTGCGGCGGGTCGGGGCTGAGGAGGCGCCGGCAGCGGGAGCAGCGGCGCGCGCCCAGCGTCCCCCGGCGCCGCTCGCCCGCCGGGGCCGCCGCGCGCCGCCCGCCCGCCCGCCGCGCGCCGCTCCCCGCGCGCCCCCCCAGCCCGCGCGCCCCGCGCGCACCCCCGCCCTCGCTCCCGCGCGCGCGGCACGGGCACCCCCGCCGGTCTGCGCAGCCGCGCGCCCCCTGCCGGAGCCCGCGCGCATGGCGCCGGGCGGGAGGGGGCGGGGCAGACCGCGGCGCGGGCACGCCCCCACCGCATCCTCCGCCAATGGCACCGCCTCGTGCCGTGACGGACAGGCGCGGCAGCCAACGGGAAGGAAGGCTGCGGGGGGCCGCGGGGGCGGGCCGGGAGGCTCGGCGGGGCCGCGGGGCCATGGCCGAGAGCAGGAGGGAAGGTGAGGCTACGCTGACGGGGCGAACGGGTCGGGGTTGCCGCGCTGCTCCCGCGGCTGGGCTCGGAGGGAGCCAGGGGGCTGTGGTGGCGGCCCTGGGCGCGGCTGCCCTCGGCCCAGTCGCGTTGCGGAGCCTTCCCGCGGTAGAGGGCGGTGGGAAACGGGAGGGCCCGGCAGGGGGGAGGCCGCGGTGGGTGCGCGGAGCCGCCAGGCTGAGCCTGCCGAGCTCCTGCCCCGCACCCGCCGTACCACGGGGGGTCCTCCTGCTGCCTGTTCCTCCCGGCAGCGCGGGGGAGAAGTAGCAAATAAAAATTGCATTTTAGTCACTAAGTATTTTAAGATAATACCATTTTTTCTCAGTATGCGCATGCATGTGTGCTTACTTGCTGTTGGTGACCATCTAACTTGGCTTATTTAAAGTGAGTCAGCTCGGTTCTGAAATAACTATGGTACTATGATTACAAAGAGTAAAATAAAAGCCTTCTGCTGTCCAAGCAAAACTTCAGTCCGTTCGGTTTATCTTTATGTTTTAGAAGACGTGGCTTTGCTCAGGAAGAATGCAGTATGAAAATTACAGGTGTTCTGTAAGTGGTATCTCTTTCTTAAGAGGGATTGAGTAGGGCTGGATGCTCACCCTGTGGCTGGCTTTTGCATTTTCAGACAGTTCCAGCATCCTGAAACTGGAATCCTTCATGCGAGGATAACAACTTGAGAGTGAAACGGGTCAGCTAGAGTTAGTCTTTGAACTATTTGCTGACTGTAACTAGTGATAGTTTGAAGAAAACATGAATACAAAGTAGTGTTCTCTGTGTTTTAGATGCAGCTTTCACGTGATAAATGGAGGAGTAGCTGTTTTGTTTTGAGACTTTGGAGATACAAATTATAAATTGATGTCTTCTGGAAGAAAGTTTGAGGATTGGGAAGAGTGAGTTCTTTCACTTGTAAATGAATGCATGGCTCTAGAGCTGAAAATGAGGGATCCAAATTCTAAAGCACTCAAAGTGTTTAAAATCAAAGGTAAAATAAAGAACCACTTGTTTTGGTAGTGTGGCAGAGAGAGCGAAATTATCATGCTGAGTGACTGTCTTTACTGTGTAAAGTTAGAAATCATTCACATTTTATTCAGCCACTAACGAGCGATGACAAGATTGAGAAGAAAATACAGTGAGAAATACAAGGATGCCACACGCTCACCCAGGAGGAAATAACACAATTGGAAGAGTTTACAACATGATGTGATCAGCCTCTGCAGTTGGTAGCATATATGAAAACTGTTGACTTTCTATTGTGTGCAAATATATGCACTTAAAAAAAAACTGAAAAAGAAAGTTTAGACACTTCTCTTTAAGGTTGGTTTTGCTCTTGTCTGTAAAAGTAGGTTGAAGATGCTGAAGACAGACTTCTACCTGCATTACAAGTGAACAGTTAAGCTTTTTATTTTGTGCAGAACTGGGCCACAAAACAGAATAAATGGGATGGTCAGCAGCTTGTAGGTGATGGGTCTGATTGTCGTTTAGGAGAATCTAAATAGCAGAAAGCCACAGTGCAGGCACTTCATTCTACCAGGAAAGAGTGGGTCAGGTCTAACTGAGAAGGTGCATTTTTTTTTGAGTTTTGGGGTGCTTTTTGTCTTTTAGTTGGTAATGTACCAATGATTTACAACCGTTATCATAATATGTATTACCAACAAGATGACTCTTCCGTCTGGGACAGCTGAGTGCGTATTTTGTAACTGATAAACATCATTACTTGCATCTTTAAAGCAGTAGTCATCATTCTTGAAAGTTTGTGCTACCCCAAAGTAACATTGTCACAGGGAGTTGTATAAAGACTGACGAGTAGAGTTAAGGTATTGATGTAGATGTAGTGTATGTTGCCGACTATAACTGCAAGTAAGAAATGATACAAAAGGTAGTGTGCTGCACAAAGGATGATCTAGGGGTACTACAGGATGCTTCCTATATAAGAGATTAAACTGGAAAGTAAATGTGACCAACTGATAGTTGTCAGTGGCAAATGTTTTTAAATAGAGTATTGCTACGAGGACTGCTACTTTGCCTCTTTGTGATGAATTAGGTGGCTTGGGGCAGGATTCTTAAGGAGGTTAAAAGGAGATTGCAGTTCCTTAGTTTGAGGGGCCTGTTGGCTTTTTTAGATGGCTAAATCAGGTATTAAACAGCTTAATTCTTGCAGAAAAAGACAACATTATTTTCGTTTTTGTAATTGTTTCAGAGCAACCTACCTCTCAATAGAGATATTGAGGGATTTTAAATATTTTTTTATTTTTATTTTTTAAACTCAACGTAATTTTTTAGAAAATACTTTTGAGGTTTTACTGGGAAAAAAAGATCAACACCTTTTTTTTATTGTGTCTTTATTATGTCTTTATTCACATAAGCGTATCAGTAAGGGAAATAATAATTAGAAATGGAGTTTAATGCCTGACACTATTTTTTTCTTCTGGTAAAGGTATCTTGCTCCCCCTAACAATTGGGGGTGTTGGTTTCAGTGACCAGAGATTTATTACAGCTTACCAAGATATAAATTTTTTTTTGTATTGTAGTTGAGTAAATCACAAATGTCTGTTTTTTGTGATTAAACATAGGAGTTGCACTGGAGTAAAAGTACTTGACTGTGCCATTAAAACCTTTCATGGAGGGAGGAAAAGAAAATGTTAAGCCCTTTTTGTTGCTGACCTCAATGTTGTGCCATGATGAAAAAGGCCAACATGGTAATGAAAGAAGCAGAAATTATACATCCAATGGCTTTCTGTTTTGAAAGTCTGTGAGAAGAGCGCGTGCTCACAGAGAGCTGCGTTTCTGGAGCTACACATCATGGGGTCTTGAGGGCTCTGTATTTTGTGTGCATGGTTGTTTGGGTTTTTTGGGGGATGGAGGGTGTTAGTTTAAGGCTGATTTCTTTTTAGAAATTTTACTTTGGAACAATTCTTATCTACTTTGCAGTGAGATGGGATGGTCCACAAGTGATAGATGGGACTCTTAAAACATGCTAGGATATATTTAAGTACAGGTGTATGTACTTGTACTTATTTAGCAAAAGGGGTGAGTGGGGGAGGTGGTGCCATGTTGGTATGGAGTTATTTTACCTTTTTAAACAGCCAGTGTTTGACAGCTTTCACTAAACACTGGTTTTGATCTTGTCATCAATAGATTTCTGGAATCTGTGGGTTTATCTTGGAGCAAAGTTAAGATTGTGTCGTGCCGTAACTCCAGCTGGCAACTAAGCCCCGCACAGCCACTCACATACCTTCCACTGGGATGGGGGAAAACATCAGAAGAGTAAAAGTGAGAAAATTCACTTCTATATCACTTGATTGAGATAAAGACAATTTAATAGGTAAATCAAAATCTGTGCAAGCGAAGCAGAAGAAGAAATCATTCACCACTTCCCATGGGCAGGCAGATGTTCAGTCATCCCCAGGAAAGCAGAGCTCCATCACGTGTAACAATGACTTGGAAAGACAAGCATTGCCCCTGATTATCTCCCTCTTCCTCCTTCTTCCCCCCAGCTTTATATGCTGAGTATGACAACAAATGGTATGGAATATTCCTTTGGTCAGTTGGGGTCACTGTCCCAGTGTGTCCCCTCCCAATTCCTTGTGTGCTCCCAGCCTCCTCACTGGTGGGGTGGGGTGAGGAGCAGAAAGATGTTAGGTATAATATTGATTTCTGTCATATGTATATGTGAGGGCAGTTGCAGAAGTCGCTGGATATTATGTTGAAATCAAATACTGAAATCGCAGCAAACTGTGAAGAAGGTTATGTAGAAGTTCAGTTGTATTTATATTTTGTATAGTATAAGCTTAAGAAGATTCCTTTTAAATAGCACTTAATAATGCACAATCTTGTTGGACTTTTGTCTGTGCTCAGTGATACAACACCTGGCAGTTTCATGGTTTGTTTTTTAAGTCCTGGTATATTGAACTTTGTTTTGTCTTGCTTCCTCTCCTCATATGAAAGTGTCTCTTTCAAATTTACAATTTTTTTCTCTTCAGCAATCTGAACTATGAATGAGTTGGTTTCTTTGTGTTTGGCCCAAGACCTGGTGGGCCCTCCTGGCTTCCAAGACACGCTACTGGCACACTCAGAGTTGGGCTATTGTTACAACTAACAATAATAATCACCAAAGTTGAGATTTAGTGAGGGTGTGTGAGATATCTTTGGTTCTTTTGAGTGAGGTCTGTTTGGTTGTGACAGGTGAAAACAAGATAATGGTGCAGGATGAGAAATATGTTTTTAAGCTGGAAGATGATAGCCTGCACAAATTGAAATAACAGTGAAGATGCTCTTGTTTTCCCAGGACTCCCCAGACTGCAGTAGCAGTACACATTTTGGACGGTTTCACTACAAGGCAGACAAGGTTATGAACAGCCAGAACAAAATCCTGGTGTTCTCGTTGTGCTTATGTAGCTTCTTATCATCTGTGTCATGTCAAGTTTATTAGATGTCTAGATTGCTTGTGGCTGCAATTAAGGTGGCCTACTGAGAGGTCTCTAAAACCTTTGTTGAGACAGGATGGCACAGTCTATTAGTGAGATTCTTATTGAACTATGCAGTCATGTAGAATTTGCTGACAGATGTAACACCAGTCTCACTGATTTGA